GCTGACTCTGTAAACCGCTTAGAGAGGGCTGAAAGCCCTATGAAGCGGTATATAAGTCTAACTGCTATTGCTATGCTGAAAAAGCAAGCAGTCTGAATTTCCCTGATCTGTTAGACTGAAATGATTATATATATATATTTTAGCACTAAAGGTATAGTTACTGTTTGTAATCGTGTTAAACACATTCAGCATACTTAAGAAGGGCAGGTTCCTTCCCTCTTGCCAACAGAAAGCATTCACAATGCTTCCTTTAAATCCTGTAATCAAGCCATTCCCACCACATGGATAAAAACAATGCCAGCAGAAAAATGGCAAACAATATAACCAAATGAAATCCCATGAGTTTGGCTGTGTGTTTATTTCCAGGACCCAGAAATTAGAGAGTTTAAAAGAGTGCAACCCTCTAACTGTGGCAGTTATCTCCCGGTGGATACTCAGGAACGAGCTGTATCTGGGAGGGCTTCTTCCATGCCACGCCTGACTGTGGATCCCCAGGTAAAATCAGGTGAAATGGTGACTAACAATAGGAATATATCATTACCGGAGATACATGATCCTTTCCTACAGGAGGTTGATGCTTTATTTGAACAGTGAAAAAGGCTGAAATTTGTCCCTGATACCAACTGGCTCCCTACGAATGTGGAACATCCTGTTAATTCTAGTATTACAGATTCTCAACACAGGGGCCCAAGGAAACAAGGAAGACTCCAGTCCTGTTTAACAGATGGAAGTTGGAATATCTGTCCTGGACTACAACAGTGCAAATCATTTTTCCCTTCTTTTATGTACACTGAGAGCATATGCGCCAAAGACAAATTCCTTTTGTGTCCAATCAGACTTGGCCAATAAATTCTATTATAATTAACTCTATCTAAATTTGCCCAGCTACCACCTTAATCAGTCCATAAACCTTCTTCTAATACTTCAGAGACCCTGGACAGCAGAAGTTTGAGGGAGCCATCTTCCTGTTCTATTTCAACCGTACCTGTTCTGACCCCTTCCTCCGTCCAGTAATGAAAGCCAAGACAAGGGTACAATGGAATGTCCTTTAATTAGCAAGACCAGACTCTCGGTGGCTGAAAGCCAAATAAACAAACAGATAAGGACCTTGGCAGCAATGTCTGACAAACCTTGGCAGCAATTCAGACAAACTCTGGCAGCAATCCAGCCTGTCAAGTTCGTTTCTCTTTAGTCCAANACAATATCTAATGATATTCTACTACATTATATTATAGTATTATAGTATATTATAGTATGATATGTTGCAATGTCTATTTCATTAATTTTACTAATCTTATTTTATTTTTCTGTCTAAATTTTAGGAAGCCTCATATTCCCCCAAAATACCTTATTTTTGACTTTGAGACCTATTTTTTTCCCCAAAGCTAATCTGTGGAATATAATATTGAAACTGGGTCTTCCCAAATAGTTTAGGTATTATAACCCTGAGATGCTGGTAATCCTAGAAAGAGATCCTGGTAGCTAAAGTTAGGTCTTTGTACATCCTGTTGATGAAACTTCCACAATAATAATGTGCTGCTTCCATCCTTGGACATTAACAGGGAAGATTTCTGGTAGGCAAGAATTCATCCATTCCGGATAGGAAGAATAAATCTACTGTAGTAACATACATAGCTTTACTTTATCAAAATTAGTTACAATCTTTTTTTTTAAAAAAAAATATGGATTTGTTTATCGTCAATTTAATCTCACATATCTTCAAAAATTGGTCAGTTATTCCATGAGAGATTCATTGGTGAGGCTTTGGTCACCTCATATATAATTCATCAAATTACTGCTCAAATAGATACCATGGTATGTATCTATTTCATTTAGGTATCCTAGATGAAAACGTGGAAGCATAATAGAGGACTTTTTTTTTCTTGTTAGATTTTTCTTTGTCATTGTGGGTTTCTAGTGATCTAGAAGTGTACACAATCTGTGGAGATGTTAAGAGACATTTAACCATTCAATAATAGTGAAAGTTCTACAGCTAAAGTTGTACTGATGAGTAAGCATTGCTGGAGATTTGGAGGGATTATGATGATGGTAAATATTTTAAGTTATAAAGAAATATATGTTGCAAATATATAGTAAAATGAGAGTATTATATAAAATATACTCAACTATCATCGAGCAAGTTATATTTTCAAGGTACTTATCAATGTTGGAAATGTAATTTTTGTCTGAAAATTTGACCCTTTATGTTTGTTACAGTGATTAATTCTAATTATCATTCTACTAATTGGTTTGTTCTCATTGCATATAATCATTTCATCAGGTGGGTTTTTCAGCTATAAATAATAATAACTAGTGCTTTGAAGCTTTTGTTCATTTTGTCTTCAATGCTGGTGTTCATATTCAAAAACCAAATTGTTGAATCATATCACAGAAATGTGGATTACATGCCTCTGAGCCCACATGCCTCTGAGCCACTTATTACCTAGTGGAATTCATGTCTACATATGTAAATGGTCTATGTGTGTTTGTGTGTGTGTGTGCACATTTGTGCACCACCTTTGTTGAAAGCCAATGCTTTATAATTGTGCATTTATTTCCACTCTTCTCTGTGTGCTTCTCAGAATGTTGCACTCTACCCATAAATTTTGCATTATACGCACACACATACATTACTCATTCTTAGACTTTCTGTGCTTGAAAAGAACACATAAACAATTTTTTGTCAGACTTCTGTATGGAGACTGATATGCTATTCCTAATTTCTCTTGATCTAGTAACAATAAAAAAATCCATTTTGATCATTGAGCATAGCAAAAGACAAACAGCGGAAGCATTACATAAGAATCTAAAAATTCATTTTGGGGATATTCCTGGCAAAGTTTCCACTGATGATTAAGTAGATGGATGGTTGATGGAGAGAAATACATACACACATACACACATAAAAATCGCACTTATGAACCAGCAGGCTTTTAAAAAGCAAATCACTGAGACATTGGAGCCAGATTTAAATCAGAAAGGCACTTACATCTCATCGTGAAACCGGGCTTAACTTTTATTGATTTTAATCCAAACTTGATATCCGAGTGCAAGAAAATGTATGGAGAGCCGAGGTGGCGCAGTGGTTAAATGCAGCACTGCAGGCTACTTCAGCTGACTGCAGTTCTGCAGTTCGGCTGTTCAAATCTCACCGGC